GGAGGTTTGATTGGTGGAGGGAATGAGGAGCAGAAAAGGCTTTGATGGAGGGGGAGGAGAGGGATTGTTGAGAGTGGGTATGATGGGGAGGGTTTGCAGGGGAAGGTTTGATGGGGGGGAAGCGTGTTGGGGAAGGAGTGAGGATGTTTTGATGGAGGAAGTGGGAGTGAGTTGGCTGAGGGAGTTGGGGAAAGGAGAGTTTGGGTGAGGGGTTATGTGAGGGCCAGTTGGATTGGGTTGTGTAGAGACAATTGGTTGTTAGCAACAGAAAAAGGCTGTTCTGAAAAAGGGTCACTGGACTCTAAAATGTTCACTCTGCTTCCTCTCCACAGATGCTGCCAGACCTGCTGAGTTTCTCTAGCAATTTCTGTTTTTGTGTGCAAGGATAAGATTCCTCGGTCAAAATCAATTTCTTAACTGTTCTAATTCCATTTACTAGCAATTGGCCCATAGTCTTGTATGTCTTGGCATCACAAGTGTACACAGAACATAGAACAGTACATCTAAATACTTCTTGGGCCTCCAGTACATAGTGATGGAGTAGGGCTTCTGAGCTTATGGCTCGTCCATTCTCTGTTTTTCTTTTTGTTCCTTTTCTTCTTTTTCTCTCCTTTTTTTTCCCCCTCTTTTATTTCACTTACCTCTTGCTGAAAAGCTCAGTTGAGACGATGGCGAGTGGGCCCAGCGCAGACTTGAGTAAGCCCAGTGTGGATTCATCATGCCAGTGTTAGGGGCAGGTTTGGGTTCCTGGAGGTTTCTCCATCGATGAGGCAGCCCTAGCACTGCTGAAGCAGTAGCGAGTTTGGACCCAATACAAGACCTGGCAGCATCAGCAAGGTGGTACCAAAGCAGACTCATGACGGCGGTGGCGGAGTCGAGTCTGGGCCAGTGCAGTACCTGGCAGTGTCGGAGGTGTCTGTGTTGGCAAGGACTAATAGTGGTGAGGGTGTCAGTGGAGGCAAAATTACACCAAAGAGTGGCGATTTTTGTTCCAGTGGCAGGACAAAGGGGACTCAATCCTGGTCACCTGGCACATGACCTAGCATTTAACAAGAAAAGTTGTAGAGTCATAGAGATATACAGCACGAAAACAGACCCTTCAGTCCAACTCATCCATGCTGACCAGGTATCCTAAATAAATCTAATCCCATTTGCCAGCATTTGGCCCATATCCCTCTAAACCCTTCCTATTCATATACCCATCCAGATGCCTTTTAAATGTTGTAATTGTACCAACATCCACCACTTCCTCTGGCAGTTCATTCCGTCATGCACCACCCTCTACGTGAAAGAGTTGCCCTCTTAAATCTTCCCCCTCTCACCGTAAACCTATGCTCTCTAGTTTTGGACTCCTCCACTCCAGGGAAAAGACCTTGCCTATTTACGCTTTATATGCCCCTCATGATTTTATATATCTCTATAAGTTCACCCCTCAGGCTCTCATGCTCCAGGGAGAATAGCCCCAGTCTATTTAGCCTCTCCCTATAGCTCAAACCCTCCAATCCTGGCAACATCTTGTAAATCTTTCCTGAAACCTTTCAAGTTTCACAACATCCTTCCTATAGCAGGGAGATCAGAAATGCAGACAGTATTCAGATAGTGGCCTAACCAATGTCCCATAGAGCAACGACAGGATCTCCCAACTCCCATACTCAATGCACTAACCAATAAAGGCAAGCATACCAAACACTTTCTTCACTATCCTATCTACCTGTGACTCCATTTTCAAGTTGAATACTTTTACTTTATTTCTTTATTTTTCTGCATTTGTAGTCTATGTTTTGGTGTATTTTTCTGTGTTTTAAGATGGCACGGAGTGACAACACAATACAGCACTTTCCATTGTATTTTGTAACAAAATACATATGACAGTAAATAAATCAAAATGTTATAACGGTTTCTGCTTCTACAACCCTTACAGTGAATACCAGGTTGCCAGCTGTAAAATAAAACAAAAGAACGGTGGATGGTGGAAATCTGAAACCAACAAAAACAGAAGTTGCAGGAGAAACTCAGCAGATCTGCTAAATCGTAGAGTCGTAGAATCTACATTAGTTCCACTTTCAGCACTAGGCCCATTAGCCTTGAATATAACGAGATTTCAAATGCTTATCTGTGAGAAGATGTGAAGTTAACGTTGAGTCTAGCAACCCTTCTTTGGAACAGTTAATTCTGAAAAAGTCTTACAGGATTCAATGTAAATTCTGTTTCTCTTTCTCCACCTGTCTTACCAGCCTTGATGCACACAATTTTTGATTTACATGAAAACAGAAATTACTGGAGAAAAGCATCTGTGGAGAGAAAACAGAATTAATGTTGAGTCTTCTTACCCTTCTTCATAACTTATAGCAGTGAGAAAAATATGGTTACGGGGTGGAAATGGAATGAACAGATAGGAGGAGAGGGAGCCCAGAGAGAAAATAAAACCAAAAGAACTGCGGATGCTGTAAATCCAGAACAAAAACAAAGTTGCTGGAAGAGCTCAGCAGGTCTGGCAGCATCCATGAAGGAGAAAACAGTTAACATTTCGGGTCCAGTGACCGTTCCTCAGAACTGATGGTGGCTAGGAAAACGTCAGTTTATATGCAGAAAATAGGGAGGTGGGTGGGATAGGGAGTAAATGAAAGGATAGAGCCCAAAGAGAGAGAAAAATAGTTGGACAGATAAAAGGAGTTGCTAACGATCAGGCTGGGAGGGTGAATAGTTGTTAATGGGGACTGTTAGTGACTAACCACAGGGGATGTGTAATGGCAGGCTATGTGGTAACAAGGCCTAGTGTGTGGGCTGGGACATGGGAGAATTTAGGCCCTAAAATTATTGAACTCAATATTGAGTCTGGGGGGCTGTAGGGTCTCCAAGTGGAAAATGAGGTATTGTTCCTCTAGCTTCCGTCGGGCTTCACTGGAACACTGCAGCAAGTCAGAGACAGAGATAACAAGGTGTAGAGCTGGATGAACACAGCAGGCCAAGCAGCATCTCCTGCTCCTATGATGTTGCTTGGCCTGCTGTGTTCACGGTGACACGGTGGCACAGTGGTTAGCACTACTGCCTCACAGCGCCAGGGGCCTGGGTTCAATTCCAGCCTCGGGTGACTGTCTGTGTGGAGTTTGCACGTTCTCCCCGTGTCTGCGTGGGTTTCCTCCGGTTTCCTCCCACAGTCCAAAGATGTGCAGGTTAGGTGGATTGGCCATGCTAAATTGCCTAATGTGTTCAGGGAGGTAGAGGGTGTATATTAGGTGGGTCATAGGGGGATGGATGTGGGTGGGATGCTCTGAGGTTCGGTGTGGACTTGTTGGGCTAAAGGGCCTGTTTCCACACTGTAGGGATTCTAATTCATCCAGCTCTACACCTTGTTATCTCAGATTCTCCAGCATCTGCAGTTCCTACTATCTCAGAGACAGAGATGTTGGCCAGGGAGATGCTGCCAGAACTGCTGAGCTTTTCCAGCAACTTTGTTTTTGTTCCAGTTCCAGACAGAACAGAAGCTAGGCAGACAAAGTAATTGAGATAGTTTAGGCCCGAAACGTCAGTTTTCCTGCTCCTCTGATGCTGCTTGGCCTGCTGTGTTCATCCAGCTCTACACCTTGTTATCTCTAATTGAGATAGTAAGCCGGGAAAGGTAGAATAACCTAAAGAACCGCAGATGCTGGACACCTGGAACAAAAACAAATCGCTAGTGCAACTCTGCAGGACTGGCAACATCTGAGGGGAGAAACAGTTAACATTTCGAGTTCTGAAGAAGGGGTCACTGTACCCAAAACATTAACTCTGCTTTTCTCTCCACAGGTGCCGCCAGAAGTGCTGAGTTTCTCCAGCAATATCTGCCTTGTTTCTGAAGGGTCAGGGGACTGAAAACGTTAACTCTGTTTTTCTGTATGCCAGGCTCGCTGAGTTTCTGCAAGAAGCTCGATAGGTGACGACGTGGGCTGTGAGTGGGTGAAAACGCGTTGGCTCTGCCGAAAGCAACCCGTGACAGTGACAGGAGATGTTCTTGCTCTAAAAATGATATGGAGCCCTGAGGGTTGGAACGTCCCAGAGAGAAAGGTGAGGTGTTGCTCCTCCAGCTTTGCCTCGCTGTTTTTGACTGACTGCCTCCACACCCTGTTCTTCAGCTCCGAAGAAGGGTCATCGCTGGACTTCAAACACTAACGCTGCTTCTCTTTTTTTTAAAAAACATTCTCTCTCTCTCTTTTTTCACAGATGCTGCCAAACCTGCTGAGCCTCTTCAGCCCGCCCTCTCTTCCCCTCAGGCACCGCCTCCCCCCGCCAAAAAAGACTTAGCGTCAGGCAATTAAAGGGGCGGGAACAGCCAGAGAGAGAGAGAGAGAGAGAGAAAGAAATAAATCCGCCGTCAGAAAAAAAACAATCCAGCAGAGATCACCAGCGGCGTTAAGATGGCGGCTGGAGGTGTTAGAATCCGGTGCGTTTTAACCCTGCTGCAGCTTCTGCTGGCCTGCGGCGCGGCCCGGCGGCCCTTCTTCACCTCGCAGACGCTGCACTTGGCCGGGGCTGGCGACCCTCAGGAGCGGGGCTTCTTCACGGTGGCGGCCGGCTCCAGGCATCGAGGTCCGGGCACGGCGCTGCCGCCGGATCGCGACCACATTCGGAGCAACCTGAGGGGGCAGAACCATCGCCACCGGTGGCGCAGGAGCATAGACGGAAAGGAGCAACTGCAGGTCTTCGGACAGGTACACGACCTGAGCATCGCCAAAATAAATACCCTGACCCCAGCGTTCACCCACTTGGCATCAACTGCCTATGTGTTTTCAATCCTCTTCACAGAGAATCTATTGTAAATTCCCACATTAATCGTACTAATCGCATTCCTGCAAATGCTTAACTTGATGGTTGCAGGCGGCAGTTACTGACAGTTTATTTCTAAAATTATTCGTTTATGTGTAAATTTTGTTTTTTTTTTAACTCTTCCATTTGAGGTGTCAACCCCCTTTTTTAAATTACCAACTCTTTTAATCTGCTGTTTATCACCTCGTTTCAATTTCAACTAATGCTGCGTACTGTATGATCACTCCGTTTTTATTATACCTATTGTGTCTGGAGAATAACCTTTCATCTGTACAAATATTGGAGTTACCCAATATTGCAGGTGGCAAGTGTAATGTTTTGTTAACAATGAAAGTCGATGCTCTTGCATTGTGTTTTTATTAAAGAGGCATTCATCTGTTTATGCGGATATACCTGGGTATGTGTTTTGTTTTAGAAATGTGCTGGGGCGGATGGATGCGTGTGGTTGCAGGACATCGTTTTGTTTTTGTCGCGAAAGTAAGAGATGTCCTTCCTTTCACTAACAGAAAAGCGTCTTGGTTGAGGGAACACAGACCAGTTGGGCTGAATGGATTCTATGTGTTGATTGTTTTTGATTTAGCTCCTATGGTAGGGTGTATAACTTGTTCTCATGTTTTGTTTTTGTTTGATTATGCAATCAAATATGGTCTGAAAAACAACAAATTTATTTAAGTTTATTTCAAGTTGAAGAAATGCCCTATAGGTTTGAGATATTTCCTGATGGAGTTGATAATTTGTTAGTACACAACACATTTTGACATTTCCTCTTTTGGATGGACAGTAACCTAGTGCCTTTCCCAGAATAAAGCTGTGCTTTTGGCCTGAAACCTCATTTTGAGTAAGAGGACTGTGTCAAACAGCTGATGTCATGATTTTCATTAAAAACCAAAAGAACTGCGGATGCTGTAAATCAGGAGCAAAAACAAAGCTGCTGGAAAAGCTCAGCAGGTCTGGCAGCATCTATGAAGGGGAAAAAAAGCAGAGTTAACGTTTCGGGTCCGGTGACCCTTCCTCAGGGTGTTCTGAGGAAGGGTCACTGGATACGAAACGTTAACTCTGCTTTTTCCTTCACAGATGCTGCCAGATCTGCTGAGCTTTTCTCGCAACTTTGTTTTTGTTTATGACTTTCAATGTCTGGTTATCATATTAAATGTGCATTTTTTTTTTTGGGACTTTTACTTAAGATCTATGAAAATTGAAGTGTCTTTATTTGACACTTAAATCCAACTCTCTCTCCAGAGGATGCTGAAAGAAAATTTGAGGAATCTCATTTCCTAAAGATTTAAGATAAGCACATTTACCTGTTAGGAATGCTCCCAGAAAACAATCTGTAAAGTTCAGCTGAGAATCACTGCCTCAATGAATGATAAAGGCAGAAATTCTGCTACTGCTTCAGAAGTTTTTGAAGTGCTGTGCTGATCATACGAGATCCAAAGTGGGATCAGGCTAGGTGGATACAAAATGGGTCATATAGCCTTCCATCGTATCCATTTCTATGATTCTATGATTTGTTTGCTATTGTACTTGCAAGAAAAGTTTAAATTTCCATTTTTTAGATACTAAACTTTCAAGAATTAAAAGTAACTTCTGCAAAGTGCAATATTAGACTGTCCTGTAATAATAGTTTTAGACTTACTTTCTTTCTAGAAAACTGTTACTTAGTAACAAGTCTCACCTCCAGATTTGGCTGATGGAAATCTGTTTTTATTGATGTCCCTTTGGGCCATAAGAATCCTGTTATTCAGTTGTGACTGAATGTATTGATGCAAGTGACGGTATAAAGTGTGAAGAAGTGCAGCCATCCAGCATTTCTGCACCGGTTCCTGTCTATTTAAAACCAGAAATAAGAGTAATAAAGTGTTGATAATTGAGGGATTGATTAATCCCTGAACATGGGACGGCTGTTTCAGTATAACAACTTAATTTTAGTAAATGCTTAAGTTTATGTTGGTGGGCTTCTTAGTGACCTAATATGACTTCTACTGACATTCACCACTTGTTTGGTGTCTAGTTAAGTAAAAAGTGTAGGGGTTCAGGATCATTTGCTTACTTCAAGTTTTATTGAAATTACCTCCCTTTTCACTTTTTTTTCTTGTGGTTTAAAACTATTTATTTAACAATTTTGATAAAATAATTCTTTAACCTACATGACCTCACCAGCCCTGAGCTCTTAAATGCTTGCCCACACCCTCCTCAATACTAAATTGTAACTCCTGTTTATTATCTTCTTGGGCCAAGACCAGGATTGGTGTCTAGAGGTGGCAGAACTTTCAAACATACTCTGCGGTTCTCTCCCGAAACTTATCTTGCTGCATCTCTTTATAATCCCAACTCATTTTCTGTAATGGTATGAAATGCTTTGGACAATGTTGCTAGGTTATAGGTCTGTGTAATTACATGATAATATTATGAAGAGAGGACAACTGTGATACCACATTTTTAAAAAAAAAAAATGGGGTTCCCTTGAGCTTTGACCCAATTTTGAAATGACGATCCCTAGTCATCTTAAGCAACAATTTCAGCTCCAAACAACTGAAGCTTTCATGAACATATATCATTCCTAAAGTTCGTTTTTTTTTTTGCATTTGAGTGTCTACAATTCTAAATGTTTCTGTACCAGGTCAAGAATGGAAGACAGTTCAATTTGCTTAAATGTGGCCTAAGCTCTATCTCTTACAGTGAACCAGGAACTGCCTCACAGAAAGCTGAAAGAATTGGGACAGAGGTCCATGTTATGCAACCATTTTGTTCTCCACTGACTTCTCCATGTTATTTCACAAAATGTGGGTGGGGGGGGGCAGGGAAAAAACATTTTTATGTTCTTCTTGGTATCCTGATTTTTATTGTTTCTTCCATGCATTACCTAGTGCAAACAATGCCTGTGTGGTTTTAATGTTAAAATTGTTTCAGTATTTTGTTGAACTTGTGAAAAAACGTGTTGAAATGCTGGTTTTGAAGTTGCAGTAATTGTTGCAGTAAAATTCCTTATGATTTTAAAAAAAATTTAAAGCAATTACACACTTTTTAAAAAAAATGTTAAAATTAGTTGAAGGCTGCTTGGTAATTGTAACAGTGATGATGTCCCTTTATGTATGAGATGGTTTGAGTCTAAACGTTTATGGATACATATTCTTGTAGTGATTGTAATAAAGTTAGCCAGGTGGACATCATGAAATATGAGTTTCCTAATTAGGGCAGTTAATCGGGTCCAGTCATCGAGCTCTGGCTGACAGATGGGAACAGGAGTGTCAGACACCCTGTTCACTCTGAGACAGAGCTCTGAGGGAGCTGGATTAGTGTCAAGGACTGCCCACATGTTAATAAAAGGTGACTTAGTGATGGGATACCAGCCTCTGTGGAGTTAGTTCAGTTTTGATGTTGAGTATTTCATAGTAAATTCACAATGAATAACTACAACATGTGTTTACAGGGTGTTTTTATGCAGAAACTCCTGTGGAGATTTCTCCTGGCTCTTCCTTCCACAGTTAGGACCATATGCTTGGTTGGAGTTGAACATTTTTGGGAGAGTTTTTTTTTTGAAGTGGGAAACATAGACAGGCGAGTCAAGGAAGGGAGATCAAAGAGTTGAAGGTACTCCTGTGAAGTGCAAGTTGGGGGATGTGGCAGGTTTGAAAAGGAGAACCATACATCACACTTGTATTTTTTAAATTTTTGTACTGCGTTTCTAGTGATTGCATTTCTAGCTGAAATCATGGCCTGGTAGATGTACGGTATTCAGCACTTCAACTTTTATATTTTTTTCTTACTGGTTGATAGGTATTTGAAGGAACCTAGCTGGCTTTAACATGGATTCCTATTGGAACATGTGATTCACCTACAACTGTTCCATGTAAAGTTGTGATTTTTCAGGACCCACACTTTCAGTATCTACTGTGTCAAAAGAGTAACAGACTGGAGGGCACAGTGAGATGTAAGGCTGGAGCAGGTTATTGGAATAGATGGAGGAATGTTTTAAAAAGGAACAACTTGTATTCTACATTGACGTGAGTGCCACTATAAGTTTGAGGTGTTCTTGAGGAAGTGGAATGTAGTGTGAGTGGGCATTTTAGGTTGCAGAAGTTTGGAGGAGTTGAATTTTTTGAAACATGCATAAAGAGCAACAACTATGTTTTACAATGACTGCCATTCAGAATTGGGGCTGGGCAAGGATGATAAACAGGAAAGATATCTTGTCAGTTTTCATAAGATAACCCTTTAAAGGTATCCAGCCTAATCTTGAATAGGATTCAAGGCATGTTCTGTTCTACTGCAGAATGCAACATTTTGGGATAGGAATTAAAATCTGTCATGGTCAATGCACCTCTAAGTGCTTCACAACTGGAGGCTGTTGATGAGAACCAAAAATATCTAGTTCGTTTTATACTGCCCTCCCAACTGATATCAATTTGTAAAAAAGGTGGCAGTAGAAAATTGGAAAGGCTCTTGTGGTGTGGTAGTGATGACCCTATCCCTGGACTGGGAGGCCTGGATTCAAGTCCTACCTGCTCCAGATATGTAATAACATCTCTGAACAGGTTGATTTAGGAAAATGGAAAAAAAGTAGAAAATTATAAATTTTAAAACATTTTATGGTTATTTCTCAATTATAAAATAATTGAACTATAAATGAATCTTGTGTTATGCAGGTTAAAGAAATAGCTGGAGAAGATATTAATCCAGCATTTAAAAATTAATTACAAATATGTTAGTGAGTAAACTCACAGCTAACTGACTTTTTATGGCTAGAACTTTTAAATTGTCAGAAAGGAAAAGGCTAGCACTGTAGGAAGTATCGTTAAGTATGCAGAGATAGTAGGAACTGCAGATGCTGGAGAATCTGAGATAACAAGGTGTAGAGCTAGATGAACACAGCAGGCCAAGCAGC